AGACCTTCTACCCTATACCATTAAATTAAGATAGTGTAAAACATCACCATCATATTTATTTCCAAGTTCACCTACTCCTTCTTTGAGGATATTATCACAAATGTCAAAACTAATATTGCTACCCTGCTAATCCTGTCTAATAATTATATAATGGTTCAATAACAATCTGTAATATAAATTTTTATTATCTTGAAGCAAAGTTCCAAAAATGGCCAACCGCGTGATCATTGATATCTCATCCTCATCAAGCACCAGTTACAGTAAGCCTTATATTTTTAACCGTTTATAACATTTATATTCATCATTTTCTAATGTTGTTGACTTCTGATAATGAAGTATTCGAAATCACGGCTAGCATGAATACATATTCCATTTCAACTTTTTGGTTGGTTTTGTGATTCAAAAAAATTAGTGATAATAACCAATTGTGATAGTCTATGTCTTTATTGTAATAAAGGAACAACATTTTTGCAATATGTTCTGTTATGATTATCCTGGGTTTCAAAAAAACTAAATGCATAAGATGAATATTTAATTTTGTAGATAGTTTCAAATAACAAACATGTTTCAATTTATTTATATGTGAAATTGTTATGTTAATGTTTTTGAAACTTTTGGGTTTTCAAGTTCATCCGATGAAGAATGGGAATATGTGTTGCAAACAATATCAGAAGTTGACAAGTTTTACAATAGTTATGCAAAAAATAAACTTCTTCACAAAAATCCTTATCAGAATAACAAGTTGAACAATATAAAGTTTGTTAATGAATCTAGCCATCATGAAAGATCTTATAATGACACTATAATGGCAAGAAACAATATATGAGGAGTATAGTTATTGAAAGTGTTGTTGAGATGGGAAATGGTGAAGAGTTGAAGAAGAATGCAGGTGTTCATAAGGGAATTGGTGAAGATTTGAAGAAGGATGTTGTTAGGATGAAGAATGCAGGTGTTTCTGGTCTGAATGTATGCAATACTCAATATGTTTGGGAGAGTGAGATAACTAATCCCAAAAGAAAAGCAAAAAATTTCTTGGTAATACTATTTTAATCCTTTTCCTACACGATTAATCTTAACTAATTTTAATTGCATTATTAATACCTCAATACTTTTTTTAAAATATTTTCCAGCACTTCCCCATAAACATTACAGAATTGTATCTGACCTAGGTTGAAGGAGATCAAACTGATTGATCTTGAATCTGAAAAAATTAACAACTACATCATTTATACCGCTAAAAGGAACAATGCTAAAAATTTCATTGGCTGGGGTTAGTATGAATACGCAGAAACAAAAAAGCTTCATAAGGGGGTGATTTGACATTCAGGTTCCACAGTTTTTCGAATTTTGTATATGTTAGTTTGAGGAGGAAGTGATTATTGTTGTTCGAATTTTTCTTTTTGGGTTTAAGGATTAGTTCCTTCCATTATGCTTCACCTGGAAGGAACCCCCTTGAAGGTCATAACGACTTGGTCAAGCTAGTTACCTAAAAAGAGCTTTGTGTGGGAGGCAACCGACAATATTTTGTGTTTTAACTATGTGTTTGTCTTTGTTTAGGTAATAAAAATAACATTTATCTAAGATTTGACAAGATATGTAGATGGATGCATGAACACAGAAGAATATAAGAAAAAATTGTAGAAGAGACCCCCAAAATAGCCCAAATTACAGTCCACTTGTAATCACAGTTACTGGCTATAATTTTGGGCTAAAACACCACCCAAACTCCCACTAAAAGCAACCCAGAGGTATATAGTTATGGGTAACCGGTAGTTCTTGTTACAACCTGTAAAACTCTCACTTAGAAAAGAGAAGAATTTACATTTAGAATTTTGGTTGACTCGTAATTCTAGCACTCAGAATTTGAAAATTTTCCCACTTTCTGAAGTGGTGGACCTTTAACTTCTCACATTCACCCAGTCACTTATCCATCTCCCACTTTTAAACGGAAAATTAACATTTCCCTTTTCACTTATCAAAAATAACTCTCCCTCTCTCTCTCTCTCTCACCCCCCTCTCTATCTATCTATCTATCTATCTATCTATCTATATATATATATATATATATATATATATATATATATATATATATATATATATATATATATATATATATATATATATATATATATATATATATATATATATATATATATATATATATATATATATATATATATATATATATATATATATATATATATATATATATATATATATATATATATATATATATATATATATATATATATATATATATATATATATATATATATATATATATATATATATATATATATATATATATATATATATATATATATATATATATATATTACTCTTTATCTTCCCATTTTCTTTCAAAAATCCTCACAACTTTGTAAAACAATATCTTTATTATTTCACATCTCTTCATTAAAACCAAACTTTAAAACTCTAATACCTCCATTGTTTCATAACCATCATCTCCTCAAACACCAAAACTCCTACTAACCAATAACAAAACCTCAAACCATACCATAAAAAACCAACATTTTTCAGCTTTTCTTCTCCAACTATCAATGGGAACAAAAAAAGCTTCATCAAAGGCACCAGAAACATCAAGAGCTACAGAAACAAGAAAAAAGAGGGATGTCACCTATGGTGACACCAAGCCATACGGGATTGTATTCAAAAACTTAGAGAAACAAAAATGATATGAAACCTTGGCTCATTATAGTATCATTCCTACAAGGCATGTTCATGATCCTACTCTAGAAGCCTTAGGGTTTCCTATTGATGTTGACCGGATATTTGATCAGATTGGGTGGAAGAAATTCTTTTCTTTAAAAACCCTACATATGCTAGAACTACTCTTGAGTTCCTTAGTTCTGTAAAATTAGAATTGTGTGTAAAACTAAGGATGATTACTGAGTGGTTAGTTTCACGTATTTTAATGAAGAGTGTGCCTTGAATATTTTTGAAGTAGATGCCATGTTTAAATTGACTATGAGAGGGAAGAGATGATGCTTATTAGATTTAGAAACATAGATTTCAATGACAATGCCTTTTGGAAAGTATTAACATGTGATAAAATTGCAAACCTTACTGATGTGAAATCATCCCATATATGTAACCCTTATTTCAAATATGTCCAAAAAGTTATAACACACATTGTATTCGATAGAGGGGATAGTACTATATGTTTTAGTCAGGAAGAACTCTTCTTCATCTGGTATATGATGAATTTCATACCTGTAAAACCACTATTTTCATGATGAAGGCCTTGGGTTATAACATTTAGATATCATTTTGGTAATACCCATTTGGACATTGAAACATGTTTTACAATGAGGCTAATTACTAGAAACGATGATGAATACATCCTACTCATGAATCTAGTGGTTATTCCTGCAAGCACATAGATCCATAAAAGGCTTATTGGTAGAGACAGTAAATAGAAAGCTACTTTGAGGCTTATCCGTGACTTTTTTTACTAACCAAGTGAATAAATCATGGTCTCTCTTGAGTTATATAATGAGTTTACCTTGTACATATTTGGGCATCCCCCTTTTGATTCTAGCTACCTTTGACAAATCATTTATGACAGGATTTCAATAAAAAAATTTATAGGTTATGACCTTTATACCATCCTTTCTTTCTTTCTTTCAAAGGTATGTATTTTTCATTCCTTCCCCCATTTTCTCCAAAAGATTATTTTTTTCTATACGGACGTTTAGCTCAATCATTTCACTAGAATGCACACCATCTAGATTTAAGAGAAAATAAATAAATTATCGTTGAACATTTTTATTGAAGGCGTCAATGACCTTACAATGATCATAGATACTCACAATAGGTTGGTGTGCTTGGATCTAATCGCAAACTTCAATTTACAATAAATATTTTGATGCTTCCGAACTAGAATTGAGAGTGTATATGCAAATACGTTGACGCCCGAGTCAACGACTATTGAGAGTGAGAGGTATTTCAAGATTAAAAATGTGTTGTTGCTTATTTTAAGGTCTCCCTTTCCCTATTTATAATCGCCTACTAGAATTTCAGGTTGGCTAAAACTTTCTCTCTCAACACAGATGTCCATAGAGGTTTTTTGTCTGTTGGTTCTTTCTTCTAGTTCAACGGCATAGAACATTCAGAAGGTTTTATTTGGGCATCATATTGAGAAATTTTTACCCATATAACTAAGTTTCTCTACTTTATTTTTCAAATTACCCAACTTTTCAATATATTTTCCAATTTATCCATGTTTAAAAAAAAAGTGTATAAGGGGGGCATCGTTGGCTTTGGAGTCACCCTTATAATTACAAGGGGGACACCATCCCCTATGGAGTCACCCTTAAAAAAATACAAGGAGGCGCCATCTCATATGGAGTCACCCTTAAATGATTAGGAGGAGGCGCTATCCCATTGAGAGCTCCCCTTATTTCGTTATAATTTATTTAGTTATTAATAAAGCATATATTATATATATGTGTATAATATTTACTTAAAAGTTTTCTTGTATAAATAGACGAGGTCCTTACATTCTTTCACATTTAAATTACCATTGTTTCTTTTAGCAGAGTGAATCACGTATCTTAGAAGATATGGGCATGTCATTTTCTCAAGAACCAAGCCTCCAATAAGGATGTTGTTTTGAAACATCCAAAGTTTAGAGAAACTACAAAGAAATTTAAATCGATGGTTAGAAGGAGACATTACAGATGGTGAAAGAATTAAAAGTATTGAAAGACCTGTTTCATACTTCTCGATTGCAGATGGAAATATACAGCGTGAGTGGGTGCGAATTAAAGATGACAACGAAGTTAGGTATATGATGTTTGGAAATAATGATATTACTTTGATTGTTGTTATATCTTAGTCTATGTTGTAATAATCCTTATATTTTTAATAATTTACGTTGTTGCTTTAGAAGTATTTCAATTTGTTTTGTGGTAAACAAAAGTTGCTATAAATATTAAATTCCAAGGTTACACATTTTTTTAATGACCAAAGTAAATCTATCTAGAACTTGTTCCAACATTTGGACAATGTTTCCTCGTATGCCCGGGAAGACAACATATTCTACACAATCTTTCCATTTTCTCAGTTGTATCCATTTCAGTTCTAATTCGCATGCTTTTGGGGCGGCCCTTTTTGTTTCTTCTTGTATTTTCGTTGTGGTAAATTGTGTCTCCATGATAGGTTGGCCAATAGTCCTCACTAGCTACCACTGGAAAACTGTTATTGTAGATACGGAATAAGTTCAGGACCTTGTAAACTTCTGATAGTTGCAAGAATGGATCCTGATAAACACTGAAGCATGTGGCAATGACATGTGAACAAGGCATGCGGAAGGTTTGAAACTTTCCGCAGTCACACCATTTTTTATGAATTTCCACCCTGTAGTGTCCTATTGGCCAACCCTCATTGTGATCCTTTGTCTCTTCAATAATGAAACTATAATCATGATGATCAAATGCTCTAACTTGATGTGAGGTCGCCTTAACAATTTCATCCTTCATATATTTCATACATGTTTCGTTGAATAATTGCCCTGATTCCAAAACAACGCTCCGTTTTTTGCCTCGTGCCGCAAAACGTGACCCCAATCTATAATAGGTTGCTCTTACCAACGCATTGATGGGGAGGTTTCTAGTTCCCTTAAATACACCATTTAGGGATTCCACAAGGTTTGTGGTCATGTGACCTCATCGACATCCTCCATCAAAAGCCCTTGTCCATTTCTCGACTGGAATGCTATCCACCAAGCTTAATGTTTCCGCGTTTGACAATCTTATTTCTTTGCGGTAATACATGAATGATGGCTGGTTTAAGGCATACCCAGCACTCATAAATTTTTTACATAGATTTCTGTCTTTGATTTCCTTCATAAAATTATGAGCAATGTGTCTTATGCAGTAGACATGGACAAAAGGAGGATTATGCCAACCATTAGCAGGATTGCTGTAAGCGCTCACGATAGAGGCATGTCTGTTAGAAATTGGACATAAGTTGGGTTGAGGAGCGACATGTGTTATGATATTTTTGAGGAAGAATCTCCAAGCATCATCTGTCTCACCCTCGATCAGAGCAAAGGCAATCAGAAATATATTATTATTTCCGTCTTGTGCAACCTCCATCAACAATGTTCCTTTGTATTTTCCATACAACCATGTTCCATCGACTTGAATAACCGGTTTGCAGAACGCAAAACCTTTGATACACGGTTGAAATCCCCAAAAGAGACGAGAGAATATCCTACTTCCATCAACACATGTTCCTTCAGGAGTGTATACTGGAAGTGACTCCAATATTACAACAGTACTAGGAACACATTTTTGAAGTGATAGCAAATACTGTGGAAGTTGATTGTAAGATTTTTCCCAATTCCCATATACATGTTCAACTGCTTTTATTCTTGTAATCTAAGCTTTTCTGTACAATGGGGTATAGTTGAACCGAGCAACAACATGAGAGATAATTGTGCTCACCTTCATAGATGGATCTACGCTCACAAGATGAAAAATCTCTTGGCATATTAATTGGGAGCTTAGTTTACCATGATATTGCCGATTGATGTTAGTTGTGCAACTATGAGGTGGATCCATCGAACCTATCTCCCAATAATCGCTTCTCTTCTGATAGGACGTTGCTAACTGAAACTTGCAAAGTTCGTTACGACAAACTATGACATAGCGTTTTGAGTCATTGTGGTTTACATCAAAATCAACAAAGTTATCCATGTGAAACTTTATTATAGCTTTCATGCACTCTGCTTTTGTGTGGTACTGGTTCCCCACTTTCAAGACACCTTCGATTTGTTGAGAAGGATTGTAGAACAAATATCAGGAAGGCTCGTCTCCACTCAATTGCAAGTTAGTCATGTGTTATAGAGGATAATAGATATAACTTAATGGTAATGCCTCTTTATCTATGTCTTCAAGTGGAGTTATTACGGTGTAGTCCCCAGTCCCAAACAAATTCACCATTTGATCGAGTACGACCTCAGGTTCTTCTTCCTCCTTGTTAACTGCATCAACTTCATCTTGTTCCAATGACTGTGATTAATCTATTACCTGAGATTCATCAAACATTTGAGATTGTTGAGTCTGAAAGAGTAAGAGATACAACTCGATATAGTTGAACCCAGAGTGTTCATGATTATCAAACATGTGTTGAACATCGTTATCGTCCTGTATATTCTGTTGAAAATACTTGACCTGATTGTTTAAAAAAAACAGGACTTCTATATATGATTTGAGAGATTGGACCAGACAAAATCTTTGACTCTATTCGCTCTTTGAAATGCAAAAAATTTGATTTTCTGCTTATTGTTAATCGGGTAACCTCAGTATTTTGAAACCCAAAACCGAAACTTTCAGAGAAGTAAGTGTCTCCATTAAAATGAGCATGAACAATATAACTTGTTGTTCTAGACATATTTGCATGTAATGAAATGTAGTTTAGATGATATTTACCGTCTTCAATGTATACTGATATATATAATAAACGTACTAGAATAAAATATTATTAAATCGTACAAGGGAGGCGCCATAGGGTATGGAATCCCTTCATTACATTATAATGGAGGCGCCATAGGGTATGGAGTCCCTCTTCACGAATTAAAGTTGTGTCGTTGTTGACTATGGAGTCTCCATAGTAATGTGTACGAAAATTTAATGTTGCATGCATGCAATCTTCCAAGTGTGACAATTTTGTTACAAACATCATCTAACTCATTTATTTTTCTGCTTGGCAATTAATATATCATCTCCAACAATTTAATTTTTCTATCTACCACAAATTTAATTTTTTTAATATAAATACATAGGAGACTTCATTGTCAAAATCATCAATTATATCCAACAATATATCATCTCCAATATTTTGTTCTTATAATCACACTTTATAGTCTATGGAAAAATGTCTCTGTTAACATTGGGCGAGAAGCATAGAGGAACACCAAACAACATCGCTTCTTATGTAAGTATTTGTAGCTCACTATTTTCGTTATAATCACAGTGTTGTAATGATTTGCAGCTCACTATTTCTTTTTTGTTAGAATACTCATGACTTCCGAACTTGTGGGCATAAACATTTCCCACATGACGAGATAATTCAACCATAGTTAGAGCATGCATGATTTGGAGAAGTAATCAAAATACAAAATTATATCCTTGATACAAAGTTCATTTTAGCGCTTCAAGAAAGGTGGCGACCCGAGACACATACATTTCATCTTCTAACAGGGGAATGTGTTGTTACTCTCGAAGACACTTACATGTTATTGGGTTTACTTATTAATGGTAAAGTGGTAAACGGTCTCACAATCCTCGTGGTAGTATGATAGAAAAATTTTTAGGGGTCGAACAAACCCCAAGCGATTTGAGGGGCTAAAAACTATTATTATCATGACTCAAAAAACTTTATAGAGAAATAACTTTAACCATAAATATTGAAAATCAGAAAAACTAGAATTTATATTATGCTACTAATAAGTTTATTTTTATGTCCAGATGCAAGTGGTAACGCTATTCATCCTATGTATTTAGTTTTATTAGATGACATGGATAAAATAAAAACATATCGTTGGGGGTCCGCCATACTATCACACCTCTATCGGTCTTCGTGTAACAACGCAACAACAAATTCGAGAAATTTTACCGGATGTGGTGTTCTTCTTCAAGCTTGGGGTTGGTTAAGAATGACCAATCTAGCACCTATCCAACACAATAATTTTGATTACCATACGCTACAAGGTAATTTCTTAGACCAATTAAAATTTCATATTCTCTTACTTAATTTATCTTATTATTAACAAATGTTTTCTTTTTTATTTGTAGGTGGTCTTCACTTGGGATGAATTATGATAACTGTTCCCATTACAGTATCACCCAGTACCAAAATCTTCTGGATCATTTGGGTCAAGATGATGTACCGTCACTGACCTACCTATTTGGAATAGAGTCATATTCAATATTATTTCAAAATACTAAATACTTTTTTCTCCTACAATTTATTTGGAGGCCATATCTTGGTCTAGAAGTCCCTCATGAAGTTAACGAACACGACTCTGCATCGTGGAGTACAAAGGTGCCAATTATCAACTTCACCATAGTGGAAATGCACAACAGTGACCGTGTCAAGCTTCAGTTTAGAATGCTACAAGATATTCCATGTCCACCAAAGTGCATCCCTGAGAAGTATCACACAAGTAAAGTCTCCGACCAAAGAGACTATTCTCCATGGACCAACTTTGAAAAACATGAGTGTCATGAATGAAAGCATCGCCGCCATTTTATTTTGTCTGATATTGTGTTGTCATAGGAGAAAAAATTGTCTATCCAATACGTGAATTGGTATAGGTTGGTATCCATTGATTTCATTTCTCATCCTACATATCTTGTTTACCCACGCCAACAAGCCTCATCATCAAGAACCCAACAGTCGACCCATCCCCATTTCCAACAGCCAACCCAATCCTCACTCACATAACCACAACTCCATGAACATACCTCTTACAATCCACCTCATTCACACAAAGTTATTCTCAGTCTCAATACCAACAATATCCACCATCATACCAAACATACTCCTATGATACTACAAACCAATTTAACACAGAGTGTTAAACACCCAATCAACCCTTACCCACTCAAACATTTACACTGATGTCACCTTACGACCAAGCAGGCTATCGTCCTGACATTGCCTCCTTGAGCCAACCACCCCAACAAAATTATGCAGGCATGTGCAACCCCGTTAATTTGGATGACTTTGCGAAGATCGACTCATCTTCATGGGCCCAAATGATCCAATTTCTTGAAGATGACCCATTGGACCCGACACCACCATAAAAACTACCAAGAAACGTACGTACTAGAGGATGTTGTACATGCAGACAATTACCTCGACCTAGTCCTAGAAATTAGTGTATCATATTTCCCCTATGTACTCATTTGTTATTAAATAAAATTATTAATTATTATTTAATATATTATTTATTAAATATGATTTAATTATTAAATTATTATTTAATTATACTTTTTTAATATATTATTTATTAAATATTATTTAAATATGATTTAATCGTTAAATATTATTTAATAATAATCATTTAATATATTATTTATTAAATATTATTTAAAAATAATTATTTAAGGGTAACTCCATAGGAGATAGTCCCCCCTTGTATTTTTTAAAGGTGACTCCATAACAGATGACACCCCCTTGTAGTTAAAGGGTGATTCCAAAGCCAACTACGTCTCCATTATTTATTTATTTATTTTTAAATATGAGTAGATTAGAAAATATATTAAAAAGTTGAGTAATTTGAAATATAAAATAG